TTTGACATTGGCGAACAGCCCCTAAAATTTTTATTTTTCGACCTAGAAGAGTGCGGTTTGGTTTGCTGGAATCCTCGAACGAAATGCTAGAGGGACGCCAGAGTTACTTTTTCGATATTTTCAACGGTTAAAAAGATATGGAGAGACTTTGTTAGGTCACGATTTAAGTCACGAAAAAAAAGGGGAAAAATAAATATTGATTTTACCCAACTAAAAAGCGTAAAGATATTGAGAACCAGCGGCAGTTTCTATATAGGGTCATTTGGTTAACGACCTCTCACATAAATATACGATAATAATGGGAATATCATAGTTATCAATGCATGGTTTTGATGTGCATCTACTCTTGGCTATACACGTACATGTTCATTCAGATGAGCAGAAATCAGAAAATGCGCATAGCACTATTCACTAACTCTGTGTGATAAAACAACAACATGTGGTGTGCTTTTACATATCCTGCTGAAAACATCAGTTTTATAGTCCTGAGGCTGTCACACTATATAGAAACGTCGACAAGTAAATCGACCGCCACACAATTAATATCCTGTTTTTTTAAGAAATATTTTTGCTCCTATAGGTACACATTTTTTTTTTCATTTCAAACATGCCGTATGGTGTTGTATAATAAAACTGCTTTTTCAAGCATTTTCCGGCAACAATCTGATTTAATTAACAGACGTCGCTTAATCTGCTGTGTCGGTCGATCATTATTAAACATTATGCCGGCGTTGCTTCCTGTTGTTCGGAATTTAAATTTCAATTAACCACTATTGACGTATTGACCCATTTAGAGTGAATTTTAAATGCCGAAGCGTAGGTGCTTCGTTCCATATAGTACTCCCAGTCCAAAGAAATATATACGAGGGTCGTTTAAAAAGTCGTGGTGACCCAGTGACGTCGGTTTTTTGTTTCTTACCCTTATTTTACGTTTAGAGAAAAGCACACGTTATTTTCTTACTCCACATTTACTATTTATGTCAATTTAATAGACATTATCAATATTGACCTCTGTAAATTGAAGAAAAAACAATTTTGTTTTTAAATTAACGAATATAAGGTTTTATATCACGCAAATGACACCGTATCGTCATTACAACAAATTCACGTCCTTTGTGTAAGGATACCCGGGAAGCATCGAATATAAATCACGTCCTCGTTCATCCGCAGACTTCCATTCTAGAGAAAAACAACCACGACTACTCTGTTCTATGACGCGACCGACAGGATGGTCGTCAGAGGAACCGTTCTGCATTTTTTTGTTCTTGAGGATAATCTTTCACTTGTCCGCCGCCAGGCGTGGGCACATCTATCTCGGAAGATATCGAGTCATGCGGTCGAGAGATCCGCCATTTCGAGCCATCGAGAATGAATGTAAAGCAGGTTTTTCCGACTTCCCACCATTAGAATAATTAAATGGAAAGCTAGGCGCTAGAGAATGGAGCTTATGGGGACAGCTTTATCCAACTGACAGATTTCTGTTTTAATTTTTTGCTGCCAATCTGAATTATTTGGGGAAAATCATTCAGCGATTGTGTAATTTTGATTTTTATTTTAGTTTTATATAAATTTAGCAAAAATCTTTGATATATTGCAATAATAATCTATCAATTCTAGGGTCTTAGGTATAGTTACACTTTAAAATATAGTAACGCAGTAATAGGAGCTGCGATAGTCCAATTGTCAAAGGCTCAACGATTAGACTGAGTAGATCTAGGTATTCAGCTGTTGATTCGAATCCCCTTGTTTATTTATTTTTTAATACCGTTTATTGGGAGCAAAATGCCAATTTTTTTTACAGTTTTCCGATACCCTAACGCTCACTTCTTGTTCCAGCTCACGCCATGGATGGACAGAGGGCCCTAGAACTGATGCCTCTACTTCAGGAACGACTGGTGGTGTTGACAGGCGGTCGAGACCGGCGTGGGGGGCCTGTACTGTCCTTCCCCGCTAGTCCTCGAAGGGAACGCGCCAAACCAGAAGACTACCGTCGCCTTCTGCAGTACCTCATGTCTATACCCAAGTGAGTACACCGAAAAAGAAAATGGTTTGTTTGTTGGCGATCGATGTAAACTGATTTCCATTTACAAAAAATATTTATATATTTATACCAATTGTAACTGTAAACACTTTCATATAATATCGTTAATATCAATTATTTTGAGCCCGCGAAGAACCAATTTAAGAATACGCTATTAAAACTCGATGATTTTATTTTTACTGCCCTTTCTTCTGGATTATAGATATTGACATAGCCTATGAGGCCGTCGCCGTCGGTATAAGCCGTTTATTAATTCGCTGTTATTCGTTTAACAGTCGTCCATGCTGTTTGTAAAATTAATATCCTATCGACCAATTGAAATCGATTCGAATTTAATGACTACTGTAGTGTTGTATGTGTAAACAGGACATATGTAGTTTGAAGTAGATATTGATTATAGTTTCTTCTGGGAACTATTTTATCAGTTATTTACGGAACTTGCATGCAGTTAGGAAAATATATTCTTGACATTTCTATTGTTTCGTGTAAAAAATGGAATATTACACATTTTGAAAATATATTTAATTCAATTAGTGCCATCAATTATTATTACAATTATAACCTCCTTTGATGGAGCGTAGTCTAGTAAAGTATATTTTGCAAACATCTAATGATCTATTTAGCCATCACTGATGGTTTCTTAAATTACACCGCTCTAACATAAATTTCTATGGTTAAATGCAGAAAAGCCAATTGTCCAAACTTAAGGCGGACCTCGATACATGACCTTTACGGATCCATCAAGGAATGGGATCGAACGTCGACCCTCGCACCTTGCAGTTCGATAACCAGGAACGGATGCCTGGCCAAGAACTGCCTATAAGCGACACAGTAAAACTACAACTTGTCTATTTCATCCCTGTAGTTTTACGTTTCTGCTAATTCTGCTCTATACTCCGCACTTTCTCGTCTGTCTAACGACTTCTTGCCGAGGAAGGCATCAATTTGCGAACAATCACTGTTTGTTTTTATCCCCGGCCAAAGAAACTCACCGCGGATGTTGAAAGAGCCGACTTCCCGTGCCGACATTTAACTAACGGTCCGTTAATAAGCAACGCGCCCTAATTGAGAGCGGACCCGCAAATTTAATGGACGATTCTTTTTTGTCCTTATCTGGTTAAAGTTTCATCAAAGAGCGGATTCCGTCAGGACCTTCTTTGAGGCGAGGGGGCGATATTAGGAGGTCCGTCGTTCGTTCAGTCCTGGGAGATCGTTTTCGAGGGTGTTCGGCTTTGATACGGCAAGATGAAACAAGCGAGTTAATGGATTCGCTAGCATGGACAATGAGTCGGCATCGCGTTAGTTACGGAGAGGGTTATTAAATTAAATAAACGTGGAGGAAAATGGGATTAGTACTTATTTGTCCAGATAAGATCTTTCAGCGTTTTAATGGGATATTTGTCCCGGTAATTTTCTTATCTTTACATACAGTATCATTTAAAATCCTATAAAAATCCAATTAAGAATCTGTTTAAGCTCTTGTAGCTCACGATAAGAATCCATTTATAATACTATTTATTACTATTAAGACAACTGGGTTTTGATTAAAAACAAATATTCCCATTATAGTTCTAATAAAATTCAGTTAAGCTTTTGATTAAATTTCCTTAAAAGCTTAACTTGAGTTTAATAAAATTTAAATTCCAAGAAGAAAATCTTATTCTACACTAGTGGAAAAAATTAAGGGATCATAGAAAAATCTAAATTGCACAGAAAATCGACGGTGGGTTTCAGAAATTTGAATGAATTCTCTACAAGGTCCTGGCACGGTTTTTTAGAAAAAAAAATTTATCCTTAACATGACTGAAAAATCGTAAAAAATAGGACTTTTAGCGCTTTCTGCAATAAGAATGTAAAAAAAATCAGGAAAAAAATGTGTTTTTTTCATTTTTTTACACAACAAACGTAATCCTTTAATTTAAAAAAAAAATCAATCGAATGAAACAAAAAAACGGCTTGATGGATCGAATTGAAACTCTGTAGGGCTTTTAGGGGTACAATGAAAGCACATTTAACATTAGTCATTTTTCCAATATTCTCAATGTGGCACGTGATTTTCTAGAAGACCCCTAAAAGTCCTATTTTTTACTATTTTTCAGTCATGTTAAGGATAAAAATTTATTTTTTCTAAAAAAAACGTGCCAGAACCTTGTAGAGAATTCATTCAAGTTTCTGAAACCCACCGTCGATTTTCTGTGCAACCATTGGTTTCTGAGATATCGATGAACAAAGAGAAAATGATCCATTTTTATTCAAAGTCCAATAGCTCAGCAAGAAATGGTCGTATCGAGACCAAAATAAAAAGAAATTGAAGCTAAATGAGCAACCTATCTAATCCATAAGGTGGTTAAGTTGGAAATTTTTTTTCAAGTCCGTACATCAAAAATAAGATCGAAAAAAATTTCGAAAAATTTTTTTTCATGATATTAAGATAATTTTTTTTGCAAGATCCAAAAATTAAAAACTTCAAACTTCAAATTGCTTTTTTAACTCCAGTACGACCATTTTTATCAAAGATACAGCCATTTGAAAAATCGCTGAAAATTTAGATTTTATTTTTGATCCCTTAATTTTTTCCACTAATTTAGATGCAATCCGACAAACATCCAATTAAGAATACTTAGAAACTTTTTTGAATTCCTTTTGGAGATCACAATCCAATCCCCACAAGAATCCAATTAAATAATCCCATTAAACTTCCAACTACAATCATATTTTAAGTCCAATCCAATTAAATTTAAACTGAATCCTCTTGGAATCTAATTGGATTTTTTATGGTATTTAATTGGTCCATTAAATTTGTATTTTATTTCCTATAATTCTAATATACTGAAAATCGAATGTAATAAAAATCCGATTAAGGATCCAATTAAAATCCAATTTAACAAAAATCCCATTAAAAATTTAATTAAACCTCTCCTGGATCCGCTTGAGAATTTAAATTCCATTTATTATTTATTTTGATTCCAACTAATATTACACTCTAATAAGAATCCGGTTAAAATTCCAATTAAACATCAAACTAAAATCCTATTCAAAGCCGAACCACCAGAATTCGATTAATCCAATTAAACTTAAACTGAATCCTCTTGGCAATGCAAAATATCAACTGATTGATATGAAACAACTCTTCCGTACATTTCTGCACTGATGAGGACCAGTAAGTCCGAAACTCCAGTTGGATCGTTTCATCAAGAATGACTTTCCATCTTCTGCAGTAACGTGAATAAATTATGGATCAATTAAGACGTTTTTAGCACATCCGAGGCATAAACACATATAAAACGGCTCTATCTTATTAATCTTTAACATCCGACGCGTTCCGATGGTTCATAAACATCCTGCATACCGCATTTTTGCTCGTGCACCAGTTCGAAACCTAAGGGACGAATTATTTTTAATGGATATTGCAGTTTAAGTATTGATAACGAGTCGAGGAGTCGACCTGGGTCGATCGAGAAATTCGTTCTCGGAGATTCGGAGGAGTTCTCAAGAGTGGTCGCATATACTTCAAGTTTAATTTCTGTCGTGACGGAAATGAAGGAAATTTGCATTTAACTCGTAAGAATATTAGTTATACGGAGCTTTCGTTCACGGCGTTGGTGGTTGTATCTATGGTAATAAATGTAAATACGTACGTCTAAATAGTAGATTTTGGATTTGAAGCTTTATAATTAACAAATTGCGAAGCAGTGGTGTAAACAATGATCAAGCACGTGGCTATAAAACTATTGGTCGACGAAACGAATCGAACGGCGCTACACACGTGAAAGACGTGATGTCATACAACACCGTAGTTCACTTATGATAGTTCGTGCGTATCATTTGCGGTTTAATTTTACGCTGTTTTCGATTAATTTAAGGTTATTATTCTATTAAAAATAACAGTAATAAGAATATACGTTCTAGATACGCGTAGATATCCACCATACTGAAAAAAATATATATGTATGATAAATATATACTGTACATTGTCATCGATCGAAACCCAGGTGATAAACTCGCCTGGAATATCTTCTAAGGAAATTTTCTCCTCGTTCATTTCGAATGCAACCGCAACAAGCGGCCTTTGTGGCTCCCACCAAACCGCGATAAATAACCGAATTATTTATTCCCGTGGAATCACCATTCTCGCCGGCTGGAGTCCATCAGAATGCTCTTAGCGAAATTACATATTGATCCGGGCCATCACCTTACCCGGGGGACCGACTGACTCCAGTTTTCCCATTGTTAAAGGTCGGGAATCGGATGGGGGAGCAGTCGCTGGGCCTCCGGCTTTTTATTTCGAACGGGGGTCCCGGAAACTTTTAAAGTTGACTATTGAGGTGTATTCTGCGTCCGAATGAGTTATGAAGGCGCTAGGTGTCGGTTATTTGTACTTTTACGACTTGGCAGTTGTAGGTGAGAATTTTTTCACGGCAGAAATATCGGTGGCTTGCTGCAGACGATCAAAACTGTGAATATCTATAATTAATGCGGATGATTAGCAGAGAAACAGCTTTCAAGCGTTTAATAAAGTGTTTGTTATCAGTTTCCAAAGCATTGTGTTTAGTCTTTTAGTCAAAATATCTCAAAACATCCACAAAATTGAGCCGCAAATGATACGCACGAAATGAAGTCGATGTGAATGAAAGCGTGTCTTTGATTTCGACCAATAATTTTAAAACGTAATTATGGAAAGTCCATTAAATATATCATTGGAGTAGAAATTTTAAATTTTTTGAGGGTCAACAAAAAATTTGTATAAATCGTTGAAACTCGTGCTCGCACGGTTTCTGATTAACTGTTAATCGGACGCCGATCTTCGGCGTCGTGAAAGTCGGAGGAGTTATCGCCTCCTAACAGCCCTAATCAATAACTGCATTGCAGACGCCTCAAATTCTGGCTTGATACGTAAGTATACTATACCCTGGAGCGTAAGCACTTGGAAGTTTCATATATCTGCGGGAGATCGGTCCCTGTGGCGCCAACTTGGCCCGTCG